AGAACGATGGTGCCAATATAGTTCATCGGGTTCCAGTAACCTGTCGAGCTCATTTGCAACCAATTTCTTACTCTGGAGAATGGATTAAGAGGGGGCAATAGTTTGAAAGGAAGCCAGAGAGTTACGCAAAGACTGAATTTTTGAATTTTTCACTTCGATAGGCACTTAGCACAGATGGCAAGATTAGTCGTAGGAGATTCCTGGCAAAGCCACCCTTCTTGAATTATTCTTGTTTACACCATAATCAACCGAGCATATCCAGTCTCAAAACAACTAGCACCAAGGCAGACACGCCTTCTCTCCTGCCGAAGGAAGACACTCTTCCGAGGTGCCAAGCACCTGCCGAAACTCCCGACTGCCAAAGCTCACAAACTGCTAAACCTAATTCTCATGACACGTGTCACCACCGCGGCGACTTGCACAAAGTCCCACATCGGAAATCTACACCAACCTCCCACTTTCACTTCCCTATAAAAAGGGAACAGTACCCTAGTAAGAGGGGTAACTACTTTTCTGCCTTTTACTATTACTCTGCAAAAGTTACCCTTCTTAGCTGACTTGAGCATCGGAGAGCCTTCGGCCGGCACCACACCGGTGCCCGGAGCTTAACGACTGCTTCCCTTATTTTTGTCTTCTGCAGGCTAGCCTTCATTGGAGGTCCAGACCCTTTCCCTGCTAAAGACAAACCCCCTTTTTCTCTAAGTTGACCCTCTCCGAAAAAGAGCATCAACAATTCTGTAATAGTCTTCGTCAGTTGTCCATTCTTCCTCAAACTGGAAACGACATGGACTCCGACAACACCAAACATCAACACCATGCTGTACGTCGGGGAGGAGAAAAATTGGGTGATGATCAGAAGAATATGCTGAAAATGGTAGATGGTGAAATTGTCTTACTGCTGAAACAAGGTTAAATTACTAAAGCCTCTGTCTAATCGCGCTTGAACATTGGCGTTATCTTTGCGGTTCTTTGTCCAGGTAAAAGGATGACCCACAAAATCAAATGATAACAGATTACATGCGTCAATTACTCGTTGAAAATCTTCGATTTGACCAACGGAGCGGAGGCAAGGGCTATTTTTTTCGTCCATAGACAGAATCTCATTGAAGTCACTGCAACACATTCATGGACCAATATCCACTTGACTCAAACGGCAAAGAAACTCGCAAGAATGAATTCGTCGAGTAGGGTTAGGATGACCATAGAACCCAGTAATTCGTGTAGCAAAGGAATTGGTAAAGGTGACCCGAGCCTCAATATGTCCTGAAGAGGATGAGAGCAACACAACCTATAAACCAAGCTTCCAAAGAATACAAAGACCACCAAAGAACCCTTCACGGGGAACACAGAGGACTCCAACCACACCAAGTCTTCGAACCAATCCGCCCATCTGGACAGCAGTCATACGAGTCTCAAAAAGGAAAGCAATATCTGGTGTTTTGTCCTGTAAGAGGTTTATGAGAACACGGAATGTACGACAGTTACCAAGCCCTCGCACGTTCCAGCTTAATAGAGACATATTAGAGACCAGAATTTCCACACTAACCATAAAGCCAAGCCGAACAAAAAAACCACAGCATGCGAAGGAGAAAGATAGAGGCAGGAGAGCAAAAATCCAAAGAATTACCACAACACTAGCACGCTTAGGAAAACACCAGCAGGGACCCAGAGTCACAGATAGTGAAACCAGCAAGTGGGTTGCGAGAGGGAGACATGAGGGCAGAGAGCCCTACCTCCAACCGTGCTCACAATCGATACCAGACCAATCCCAATAAAATCTCAAGAGGCCAGTCCATTAGCAGCTATGATGAGCCTGAGTGGATAAGGGAGAGACAAAACTAGTCGCTCGTGGCGAGTGGTAAGGCGAGAAGGAGAGACAATGACTACACCTATCGCTGGCAAAGGAGGAATGACAACTGCTGGACGCATGGCTGCATCGGCTGACCTTGAGGAGGAACCCTAGATATGACATGGAGCTAAGTTCCTGTCTTTATTTGTATTGTTATGACTTGGTTTTTGAAGCTTTATCTATTTTTGGTTATTCTGATTTTGTACTCTTAATTGGGATGCTTATGCCAGAGTTTGTTCGATCATGCATGATCGTTAGTGGTGGAGCCCTAAATTGTCTTAATTTTGATGTTAGATCGCTTTGTTATTATAATGACCCTTTGTGACTAGTGACTTTTTTTGCTGAATTATGAATGCAATTCCAAAATTTCTCAAAAAGGAAAAAAAAACATATTATAATATGAGCGTATGTCATAATTAATTGTAAAAAAAAAGGGTATAGTATTAATTAATAGATACATGTGTTATAATATAAATAGATTGGTAACATGCAACGGCTTGTAGCTCAAGTGAAAATTGTCACACCGAAGAATTTCTTAAAAATATAACCTCGTAGTTAGTACCCTATATATAAGAAATTTTTCTCAATGCGTCCCTCACCTCACACCTCCTTGTGTTACTAGTTCTTTTTTTGTGTGTAGGTGTGTGTGTGTGTCAAAACATTGTGTTACTGGTTCACATGTTATAATTGGTGACCAACATGATTAATTTCTTAGGGACCTAGGGTATAGTATTAAAATAAGAATGCTTCCATTCACACCTCCTTGTCATATTTTCCCACACACTATTTGATGAAAATTTTAATGAGCAATTTGAGAGAACTTGGACGCTTAGACGTCTAGATTATATTTGGTAGCTCAAGAAAATCAACATACATTATTAATATTGCTTAAGAGTTGAAAGAGGTACGTACAGATAATTGGCTTTATTTGAAGTCCTGCAATATAAGCTAGGGGTGGGCGCAGTCCGGTTCAGTCCGGTTCGCAGCTTACACCGAAACAGATACTGTTCATCCGGTCCGGTCCAATTCGATTTTTGAAAAAACAGGAGAGAAACTGGATCAAGCCGAACTGGTTATTTCCGGTTCGATTTTCCGGTTTTCCGATTTGAACCAGTTCTCTAGCAAGTCCCACACACAGTAGACAATAAGGAAAAAAAACATAAATTTGGTTAAACAATTCTTACTTTTTTGCTAAAAAATATTCGATTTTTCCTTTCATATTCTCAGATGGCCGACATAAAAATAACCCTAAACAATCTAATGCTACGTAGACCAGAAATCATAAGCACACCAGATCTAATGAAACTCACAAAAAAAAAGAATACAACACCAGATCTAATGAAACCACCAAAAAAAAATGAATACAACACCAGATTTCTCCTTGCATGAGACTTTGATGCTTGAATCTAGTCCTAGGATCTTCGTTACCAGAATATGAAGAAGGCTCCATAGCAAGAACTCCTTTCATCCTCTTCATCAGATCATAGAGAGAGAGAGTGAGAGAGTGAAGTTGCAGAGAAGAAAAAAAAAGGGTAGAGAGAGAGTGAAGTCGCAGAGAAGAAGAAGAAGAAAAAAGAAGAAAAGAAAAGGGAACGGAAGAAAGGAAAGAAAAGGAAAAGAGAGAGAGAGAGAGAGAGAGAGAGAGAGAGAGAGAGAGAGAGAGAGAGAGAGAGAGAGAGAGAGAGAAGTCGCAGAGAAGAAGAAGAAGAAAAAAGAAGAAAAGAAAAGGGAACGGAAGAAAGGAAAGAAAAGGAAAAGAGGGAGAGAGAGAGAGAGAGAGAGAGAGAGAGAGAGAGAGAGAGAGAGAGAGAGAGAGAAGTCGCAGAGAAGAAGAAGAAATAAAAAAGAAAGGAAGAAAAGAAAAAGAAACGGGAAAAAAAAGAGAGAAGGAGGAATGAAGAAAGGGGAAGGGGGAGAGAGAGATCAGAGAATGACAAAAAGAAAAAGAAGAGGAAAAGAAAAGAAATGGGAAAGGTAGAGAGAGAGAGAGAGAGAGAGAGAGAAGGACAAAAAGAAAAAGCTGACAGAAAAGACAAAAGAGAGCTGTGCTTTGGGAAGAGAAAAGAAAGGGAAAAAAATAGAGAGTTTAAGTGGGATTGGAATGGGCTTTGAAAATAAAAGATACATGGGTTTTAAAGTTGGGCTTCTTATTTGGTTTAAGATGAATTGGGTTAAGTATAAGATATTTTAAAATAAAAAATTAATATAACCGTTATGGTCCGGTTCGGTCTGGTTCTATAGCATGTAAAACCAGAATTGGAATCGGTTCAAACCGGTCCGGTGTCAATTTGTTGACTTTTTTAGTCAACCGGTTTCTTTTCCGGTTTTTTTTATTCGATTCGGTTCGGTGTTCCAGTTCAAATGCCCACCCCTAATATAAGCAAACAAGTAATGGTAGTAACTTTTTTTTTACTGAGTATATATGATATGGACATCAGAATAAGTTATAAAATTTTGTTTGTATATTTAAGCATATTTTTAATTTCTTTTATTTCTTAAGAGAAAAAAAAATTGTATTTCCAACAAGATACTAGCATGTCACTGTCATATATCAACTAGGTGAATAAATATTGGAAGAAAATCATCGTGGAAATGACTGATTCTGACTCTCACTCCTTCCGATTCATTCTTATTGTATTGATTACAAGTTATAGTAAACATGTCATTACAATCTAAAGGATCACTAAATATTATTCCCCCAACATGACATGACAAATTAAGCTTGGGATTAGTACCCAAATGCCAAAATGTGACTTCATAGTTAGTAGCATATCCTTTGATACTCAGAAGGCTCAATTAGTCTTACTCAACATTAATGCCATTTGACAAACTTGAACAAGCAGGAAAGCAAAATGCTGGTAGAAGTTAGGGAAGTGGAAAGTCGGTGAATGAAAATAAATACCATTTGAACTGCAAAGCCGGTGAGCATGTTGCCTCTTTGTACTAAGATCCTTTTCAATCTTAATGAAGTTGACATCGATCCCTCAATTAATAATTAAGTGCAAGCACATGGGCCTCCTAAACAGTTCATCTAACTTACTATAAATAACAAGGTTGCTGGAACTGATAAAAAGCACCAAAGCCAGCTTAACCAACTTGTAAAAGTTGGATTTACTACTTCTATACCATTTTAGTGTTGCAGGGTTTTTCAATGAAGACCCGTCTTACTTTCCAAAGGGCCCTTCTGGGTCTCTGGTTGTGCTTGTTCGCTGTAAGCTTCTGCTACAGCAATGCAGAGACTATTGAGGAAGCTGGACAACAAGCACTAGACAGAGCTTATTCAGGTGAGACATATACTATATATATGTATATATAGAGTTCTTTCATTAGACCTCCTCACATTATTACCTTGCGGATGCCATTGTAAACATGGAGGAGAACAAAGAGATGTAGTAGAAAATACATGGCGTCCACACGGTAATAACATCCAGAGGTCCGCATAGGAGAAAAGCTGTGTGTGTATATATATATATATTTATATGTGTGTGTATGTAATTATATATTAGTCTTAGTGTGATCAAATAGTTCTTTTAGGCTACTTGATTACACTACAAATTTTCTTTTAGAAGGGAGCTACTTACGCTACATGACAGCTCTCGCAATGTAGCACAATACAATAACAAAAGTTACAAAACAGACCCCTTCATTGTTCCTCATTACTTCGAAATACTTAGTGAAATCTCTACGTTTTGTTATTTTTTTGTTAATGGTTTTTCTGATAAGTAACATTCTTCTGCATCTCTTTGTGCACATGTCCAAATTGAAGAGCTGCAAGCAGAGGCTGCAGAGCTCAATGAAGAAGGGAAGTTTGTCTTTAAGAAACACCCTCTACCTAAGATTCCCATTGTAAAGAAGCCATTTCCACCAAAGCCCTTCTTCAAGAAGCCACTTCCACCACCAGTTCCAATCTTCAAGAAGCCACTCCCTCCACCCTTCAAGAAGCCAATCCCTCCTCCAGTTCCAATCTTCAAGAAGCCACTCCCTCCACCTGTTCCAGTCTTCAAGATTCCACCCTTCAAGAAGCCGGGTCATCCTCCGGTACCGGTTGTTGAAGGGAAACCATTTGTAAAGAAGCCATTTTTTCATCCCCTTCCAAAATTCAAGAAGCCTTCTCTACCTCCTGTTCCAATCTATAAGAAGCCACTTCCTCCACCAATTCCCGTATACAAGAAACCATTTCCCCATCCTATTTTCAAGAAGCCACTTCCTCCACCAATTCCCGTATACAAGAAACCATTTCCCCATCCTATTTTCAAGAAGCCACTTCCTCCACCCATTCCAACATTTCCTCCACATCCTTTCCTTGGGAAGCCACTCCCTCCTCTGGTTCCCTAAAGCTAGCCTAGTGTTCTTTCACCTAAGCCCATATTGTTAAGGGATGAAAGCATAGAAGTTATGCATTGGTTAGAATAAATTCCTACATGGACATTGAAAGAGACAGAGAGAGAGAGAGAAGAAAGATGACAACGAAAGAAGACACTGTTCTTGGAAGTTGGAACTTTACTATCAAGTTTTGCATTTTAATATTTCTAGATGTGTTGTAATATTTCTGCTTGTTCTTGCTGTTATATGGCTACTGTTTAATACCAAATTTGCATTTTATCAGTTCAAGGAAATATTTTTCATTAATTCCAAAGAATCAACCTGAAGCCCTCAGCACATAAGACTTTTTCTGGATTGATTATTACTCAAATGGTGAATTGTCAAGCCAACAGGTCCATAGCTCAATGGTAAGAGCATTTGTTTATAGATCAGTGACCTCAGGTTCGAACCCTAAACCCAATGACACCTCACCCTTCCAAACTTTGACAAGAAAAAATGGTGAATTGTGAAAGGGAAAGAACCACACTAAACCTGCTTGATTAAGGACCAGTTTAATCATTACCCTAATTCTAAGTCCTTAGATCATCCATATTGGGCTCCCTAAACCACCTCCTTAGACATATTTTAGGGAGGAATTGGAAAAATACAACTCCAACCATGCTCCCTATCTATCTCCTAAAATAGGGAGACCTTTAGGAGAGCTCCTAAATATGAGGAGAGAGAAAGGACTCCTAGTGACTCCCTATAATTTAATGCTACTTTATTTAATGAGTATTTCAAACCTTTAATTAATGCTAACTATTTTTTATATTATTTTTTAATAATTAAAAAAGAGTTATAACATTTATGACACTCTAAACTAGAGAGTATGATTGGAGTTTAAATTTTAGTTTTTTAGTTAAATACCCAATTCTACACCTAGTCCTATTACAAAACCCTATACCATTTAATCTTTATAAACATACCCAAAATAAACCCAAAAATCAACAATTGTATATATTTTTAATTTAATTAATAAGATGAAATACCTTTATTACCCTTTTTAGCATTAAATTAGTTTTGGATCTCGTTTAAAATCTATACAATCCAGAGAACATAAAAATTCGACAAAACCACTCCCTGAGGTTTGAAGCCTCAAGCCCCTCACCTCCTTCAAACCCTCATCTCTCCTCTGTTCTCTCCCTTCTTCCCTCTCTTTGCCTTCAAAGTAAACCAAACAGTCTCAGAGCCATGAACCAACACAAGACCGACGACAATCTCCGTTACGTCAGTGGCCTCGCATGTGTTCTGGCCGCCGATGCCTCCATTTCCTTTGAAAGTTTGTTCCATCTGCTTCAATTCGTTATTTTCCTTTTGATTTTTTCTTAATTTACTTGAATTTCTACTCGATTTTTGTTTCTTCGTTGAATTTGGTGCTAATTTCCATTTTTTTCGATATGAACAGAGCTAATGGTTAAGCTCGTAGAGTTCTGTGGCACTTTGTAGATTTGAGGTGTCAACTGCCTAACGAAGGTGTTCAGAACGTCGATGCCGGTGGTGATTGCGAGAAGAACGAAGATGAAGACAATTTCTCTTTCACCTACACCAACCCTGACAGATCGCCGTTTTCCACCAACGATATATTCCAAAATGGCCAGATCCGTTTGGTATTCCCGATTTTCAACCGGGATCTCCTGTTCACCGATGCTGATGACAACGATTCTTCCAGAGCCAGAGGGGCTGCCGCTTCCTCTTCCTCTCTGCGGCCGCCATTTGAGAAGCTCTTCTTTGAAGAGCGGGATACGCTGACCTTGGTAATGTTGTTTTACAACTCAAGAGGTGGACTCGGGTCCTAATCCTTGAGATCAACCAGCTTCTGAGTTTGATCATCAATACCTTCTAGAGCAACAGGGAGATCTTTCTCCGTGAGCTCATTAGTAACGCCTCTGATGTACGTATTTTCACCGTTTATTCTTATGATGATTTGTCATTTCAGTATTTTCAAGTGTTTATGATATGAATCGTTGTGTTTTCTATTTGTGTTTGGCTTGTGAATGTTTTAAATTCAACGACTTATTTTGTATGGCTTAGGGAATTTGAACATGTTAACTTTTATGTTGTGGTTTATGATTGTGTCAATATGGAAGGAAACTAATTTATTTGTTCTTTAGTCGTGATATACATATTTGCTGTGGTTGATGTTTAGTCATTTCTTTCTTTAGGGGCACCAAAAATACAAATTAGCCAATACATGACAGAGAGGATGTATGTCTTTCCTACATTCCTAGGACTATTCCTTGTAAGATTAACCAAATTTAGTTTCCCTACTGTTGGCTTTATGATTGACCAAAGCCTATCTGTTAGGTACAACATATGTTTTAATTCATTTAGTTTTGGTGTTGTCGAATGATCCAAAGAACATAGATAGATACATAATTTTTTTTTAATTTCATAATAGTCCAATGATCTAAGTCTTCGGATACTCATAACCTCGTGCTTACAACAAGAGTTCGACTTTCATCTCTGTATTTACAAATTTTACCTTGATTTCAAGTTGCTCAGACTTGTTGGCTAAGATTAGGTTTTAAACAGAGAGGTAACATAGCAAAGCAAGCAACATTGAAAATGTAATAAATGATTAATCATGTTTTGTATTCATTGCCTTGAAGCATGTCTTGCTTAGGACACATTGGTTAAGTCATGCACAAATAGACCACTATCTGACCCCTAACTCCTGCAATGCTTAGCCAACAAACTATGGCCCAACCAAGAGACCAAACTTTCTACATCATTTCAAGCTACTAGGCAAGAGTCTTAATAAAAGTTTAACCAAAAAATTGGGTGAGTTACATCTGTTTTGGGAAATTGGGCTGCTGATAAAATGTGTCAATATTCACAAATTCCTCATTTTTAGAGTTAGAAAATGAGAAAGTTGGTTTATTTATTGTATAGTTTTGTGCAATTGTTTTTACTTTTGAGTTGTAGCTGAAAGAGAGCTGCTCTCTTTGCCTTGCAAATTTGTAGTGGAATTGCAGCTAAATTTAATGGCCAGGCCTTGATTTCATTTTAGTCTTTTGTTATTTTGATGAAGAGAGATATTATCATTTTGAGCTCATTCTAAGTGTGCCGTGTGACTGAATTTATTCATTTCTCTGTGCTTTGATGTGGCTTTTGCAACAAGCCAATTTTGGCTTTTTGAGTGGTTGTGGGTCTAATATTTGACTCTTGTAAATTGCAACAAGTTGGTAAGTTGATTTGTCGTATACAATTTGTTATCTATAAGTGGTATGAACATTTGTTAACTTCCAGTAAGTGGTATGAACAAATGTTATACTTCATACCTTGCAACTGAGTTGATTTATATGACACAGTATTAACAGATTTTCAGTAATAAAGCGTGCTCCATATTTTGCTCTATATATAGTTGTGCACTTGAAGTTTATGATATGCAAAATGTGATTTTTACTAGGAAGATAGTTCTATGACATAGTATTAACAGTGTACTTCTGTGACATAGTATTAACAGTGTACTTTTTTTCTTGTAGAGGTATTTTCTTTTGCCTTTGTGATTGTATCTGATGAAACTGTGGACAATTGGAGGTGACTGCAAAGGATATCAAATGTCTTTCTAGGATTTTTTTGGGTTTTTTGTATGAAATGGTATTTACAATGTTTTTTTTTATGAAATTGTAATAACAATGTATTTCTATGAAATTGTATTAACAATGTACTTCTATGGCATGGTATTAACAATGTACTTCTATGACATGTTATTAACAATGTACTTTTATGATATGGTTGTACTTTTATGACATGGTATTAACAATGTACTTTTATGACATGGTATTAACAATATACTTATATGACATGGTTTGCGGAGGTTTGATGGAGAATAAAGGGTCGTGGGGACATGCCCTTGGTTTTCATGAATTCATTTTTTTTTTTTTTTTTTTTTTTTTTATTTTTGAAATATTTTTTATTGGGATGAAAAAAATCAGGGTGGGCTTGCTCTGCTGGTTGTTTTTTTTGTTTGGTTTTTTGTGTTGGGCTTGTTTTAAGTTAATCAATGGCAGGGATGTAATTTATAAGAACTTCAATACTAATTTCATATTTAGTAAATGGTTTTTGGGTATGTTTCTAAAGTGCATTCCATGTAGGTTTTTTTTATAATTCCAGCCCTATTTTGGGTATATTACTAAAGCTCCATTTAAATTTTATAGAGAGCTCTTAAAATAACTTTTATATGTTTTTAGCTAAAATTTAACCAAAAAAATAAAGAGCATGATTGTGGATGTTCTTAGTGAAATTGCGCTCTCAATTTAGGCATATGAGAGCATTCACAATGGGCTCCCTAAATCACATCCTTAGACAAATTTTAGTGAGGAATTGGAAAAATACAACTCTAACCATGCTCCCTATCCACCTCCTAAAATAGAGAGACCTCTAGAAGCTCCTAAATAGAAGGAGAGAGAAATGACTTTTAGTTGCTCTCTATAATTTAATATGCTTTATTTAATAAGTATTTCAAACCATTAATTAAAGCTAACTTTTTTTACATATTTTTTTTAATAGAGATGGACTAATTAAAAAATAGTTATAGCATTTATGATTCCCTAAACTAGAAGCATGATTGGAGTTTAAATTTTATAGAGAGCTCCTAAAAACTTTTATATGTTTTTAGCTAAAATTTAACTAAAAAATAGAGAGCATGATTGTGGATGCTCTGACAACCATTTGTACTTTGCCCTTCATTACTAAGTTATGGAAGTAATTGTTTTTTACTGTGTATAGTAATTGTTTTTGTTCATTCATAACTGAGTAAATACACTTTGGGAAAGATTTTGGTGATTTTGAATATTGTGGATCCGGATCCATTGCTCTGATTTTCTTTGTCATTATCTGTTTTACTTTTGTTTAACATACACCACCTCATTAAAATTTAATCTAACGGATTTAAAAGTTGATACATCATTCTAAAACAAAAACTCAATTTACTCCTAATTAAAAAAGAATAAAAAAACCCTAACACCCAACTAACGGGATATTTAACGTCCAAAGCTCTCTTTTTTTTTCTTCTTCTTTTTTTTTTTTTTTTTTTTTTTTTTTTTTTTCAGGTTTTGTCCTCTTCTCCTTCTTGCTTTAGGTTCTGTCCTCTTCTCTTTATTTAAGTTCATATTCATTTTACCTTAAATGTTGAATGTCAGGCATAGCTCCAAATACAGCTATTACCCTTGCATCAACCCCAGGAGGAGAAGTGGCTTGAATCGATAGACAAGAGGGCTAGGCGGTCAACCCTAGAACAGTTTGAACTTGATGATCGATAAGCCACGTACAACTTCAAATTTTCATAACTACCTTATACAGGCTATGAACTTGATGTTCAAATGTTGATCAAATTGGAGATGGCATCTGGAATCATGGGTATATTATGCTCTCAATAATACCTTTATTATGAAATTTTATTTGTATAATACTAACCAGTTTTTTCTTTGTTTTTTTTATACAGGTCAATATATCAATAGGAATGCTTGCCAGAGATACACAACTGTTCTTTCCTTTATTATTGATGTGTAAATTTATGTTTGTCATTTATTTGATGGGAAGATTATAAACCTTTTGTCTTTTTAATGGAGATTATAAATACTTTTTCGATTCTATTTCCTACATCCATTATTTTGTTTTCTCTTTAGCACTGTAGTTAGCTAGATGATGGCATGATGGTTTATGCAAGGAGAGAAAAAAAAGGAGAAAATGAAAAAAAGAAATAAAAAAAGGAACAGAACAGAAAGTGAATAAAGAGGAAAGAAAAAAATAGAACGTGAATAAGGAGAAGAAAAAAAAAGCTGGACGTTAACTACTGTTAGTTGGGCGTTAGGGATTTTTTTTAATTCTTTTTTAATTAGGAGTAAATTGAGTTTTTGTTTTAGAATGATGTGTCAACTTTTAAATCCGTTAGGTTAAATTTTAATAAAGTGGCGTGTGGAGAAAAAAGTAAAGCAGATCATGGTAGATAAAATCAGAGCAGAGGATCCGAATCCGAATATTGTTTGGAAGCTTTATAGCATCCAACCTCTTTTTCCTCAATTTGTCTCCCAACTTTCTCACGCTAAGATATTATGGGGCCCAGTTGGATAGATATTGAAGAAATAATTTGATTTTAAAGTACCACTAACTATGCTACTTCCCTAAAAGCATCACCAATTAAGATTTATTATGTAATCTTCTGCTTCTAACTACACGTGTTATAATAAGAGTGTGTGTCATAATTGATAAGTCGTGAATATGATATAGTATTAATCATAGAAAAAGGGTATAATACTAATTAATAGAGGCACGTGTTATAATATAAATAAATTGGTAACATACAACGGAATGTCTATAAATTGTAAATTTTGGAAAACATTGTGACTAATTTGGCTAAATTTTTGTCTTAGTAACCAAATTGAATTTTTGTAACAAAATCTAGTGGCCAAAAAGGTATTAACCCTAGTATTAAATCAAAATGATTCCATTCACACCTCCTTGTCCTATTTTCCCACACACAATTTGATGAAAATTTTAATGAGCAATTTGAGGAACCTGGACGCTTAGACGTTTAGATTATGTTTGGTAGAAAATCAAACATGCATTATTACTGTTTATTAAGAGTTGAAAGAGGTACATATCATTGGCTTTATCTGAAGTCCTGCAATATAAGGAAACGAGTATTGGTAGTAACTTTTTTTTTACTGAGTATATATGCTATGGACATCAGAACAAGTTATTTAAGCATATTTTTAATTTCTTAAGGAAAAAAAAAAATATGTATTTCCAACAAGATACTAGCATGTCCCTGTCATATATCAACTTGGTGAATAAGTATTGGAAGAAAATCATCGTGGGACTGATTGATTCCGACTCTCAGTCCTTTCGGTTCATTCTTATTGTTCTGATTACAAGTCAGTAAACATGTCATTACTATCTAAAAGATTACTAAATATTATTCCCCCAACATGACATGACCCAAATGCCAAAATGTGACTTCATAGTTAGTAGCTTATCCTTTGATACTCAAAAGGCTCAATTAGTCTTACTCAACATTAATGCCATTTGACAAACTTGAACGAGCCGGAAAGCAAAATGCTGGTAGAAGTTAGGGAAGTGGAAAGTCAGTGAATGAAAATAAATGCCATTTGAACTGCAAAGCCGGTGAGCATGTTGCCTCTTTGTACTAAGATCCTTTTCAATCTTAATGAAGTTGACATCAATCCCTCAATTAATAATTAAGGGCAAGCACATGAGCCTCCTAAACAGTTCATCTACCTTACTATAAATAACAAGGTTGCTGGAACTGATAAAAAGCACCAAAGCCAGCTTAACCACCTTGTAAAAGTTAGATTTACTACTTTTATACCATTTTAGTGTTGCAGGGTTTTGGCTCAAAAATCTGTAATACATTATTCGCATAAAAAATCTGTGCCATAGAATTAATTTTGGCTCTGTGATTGGCAATCTTATGAAAATAGGAAGTGGTGCGGTCACCAGCTTGCATCTAATTGACCCGAGAACGTTGGTGCCTATATAGTTCATCGAGTTCCAATAACATGTCGAGCTCATTTGCAACCAATTTATTACTCTGGAGATTGGCTTAAGAGGGGACAATAGTTTGAAAGGAAGCCAGAGCGGTACGCAGGGACTGAATTTTGGAATTCTTATGACTGAATTTTTGACTTTTTCACTTCGATAGGCACTTAGCACAGATGGCAAGATTAGTCGTAGGAGATTCCTGACAAAGCCACCCTTCTTGAATTATTATTCAATAGTCTTCGTTAGTTGTCCGTTGTTCCTCAAACTAGAAACGACGTGGACTGTGACAATGCCTAACATCAACACCATATCTTACGTCGGGGAGGAGAAAAATTGGGTGACGATGAGAAGAATATGTTGAAAGATGGTAGATGGTGAAATTGCCTTACTGCTGAAACAAGGCTAAATTACTAAAGCCTCTGTCTAATCGCGCTTGAACATTGGCGTTATCTTTGCGGTTGTTCGTCCAGGTAAAAGGATGACCCACAAAATCAAATGATAACAGATTACAGGCATCAATTACCCATTGAAAGTCTTCGATTTGACCGACGGAGCGGAGACAAGGGTATTTTTTTCGTCCATAGACAGAATCTCTTTAAAGTCACCGCAACACATCCATGGACCAATATCTACCTGATTCAAACGGCGAAGAAGCTCCCAAGAATGAATCCTTCCAGTAGGGTTAGGATGACCATAGAACCCAGTAATTCGTGTAACAAAGGAATTAGGAAAGGTAACCTGAGCCTCAATATGTCCCGAAGAGTTTGGGAGCAACACAACCTATAAACCAGGCTTCCAAAGAATACAGAGACCACCAGAGAACGGTTCATGGGGAACACAGAGGACTCCAACCACACCAAGTCTTTGGACCAATCCGCCCATCTGGACAACAGTCATACGAGTCTCAGTAAGGAAAACAATATCTGGTGTTTTGTTTTGTAAAAGGTTTCTGAGAACACGGAACATACGACGGTTACCAAGCCCCCACACGTTCCAGCTTAATACAGACATATTAGAGACCATAATTTCCACTCTAACCACTGAGCCAAGTCGAACAAAAAAACCACAGCATGCGAAGGAGAAAGACAGAGACAAGAGAGCAAAAATCCAAAGAATTACCACAACACTAGCATGCTTAGGAAAACACTGGCAGGGACCCAGAGTCACAGAGAATGAAACCAGCAAGTGAGCGGCGCGAGGGAGACACGAGGGCAGAGAGCCCTGACCGTGCTCACAATCGATACCAGACCAAACCCAATAAAATCTCAAGGGACCAGTCCATTAGCAACTGTGATGAGCCTGAGTGGATAAGGGAGAGACAAAACTAGCCGCTCATGGCAAGTGATAAGGTGAGAAGGAGAGACGATGTCTACACCTATTGCGGGCAAAGGAGGAATGGCGATGGCTGGACGCATGGCGGTGGCGATTGACCTTGAGGGGGAACCCTAGATATGACTTGCAGCTCTCCTTGCTTAGCAAGAAAGGGACCCTGGGAGCTAATTTCCTGTCTTTATTTGTATTGTTATGACTTGGTTTTTTTCAAGCTTTATCTATTTTTGGTTATTCTAGTTTGCACTCTTAGTTGGGATGCTTATGCCAGATTTTCTTCGATCATGCGTGATCGTTAGTGGTGGAGCCCCAAATTATCTTAATTTTGATGTTAGATCGCTCTGTTATTGTAATGATCATTTGTGGCTAGTAGCTTTTTTGGTTGAATTATGAATGCAATTCCAGAATTTCTCAAAAAAAAAAAAAAAAAAAAAAAAATATATATGTATAATTGATAAGTCATGTATAGTATTAATTGTAAAAAAAAAGAAAAAAAAAGGGTATAGTATTAACTAATAGATACAGATGTTATAATATAAAAAGATTGATAACATGCAAGGGCTTGTAGCTCAAGTGATAATCGTCACACCAAAGAATTTCTAAAAAATATAACCTCGTAGCTAATACCCTATATATAAGAAAATTTTCTCAATGTGTCCCTTACCTCACACCTCCTTGTGTTACTAGTCCTTTTTTTGTTTTTTTGTTTTGGTCGAAACATTGTGTTACTAGTTCACATGTTATAATTGATGAATGACATAATTAATTTATTAGGGACCTAGGGTATAGTATTAAATAAGAATGGACATTCACACCTCCTTCTCATATTTTCCAACACACTATTTGATGAAAATTGTAATGAGCAATTTCAAAGAACCGGGACGCTTAGACGTCTAGATTATATTTGGTAGCTCAAGAAAATCAACTTACATTATTAATATTGCTTAAGAGTTGAAAGAGGGACAGATCATTGGCTTTATCTGAAGTCCTGCAATATAAGGAAACAAGTAATGGTAGTAACTTTTGTTTTTACTGAGTATATATGCCATGGACATCAGAATAAGTTTTAAAATTTTGTTTGTATATTTAAGCATATTTTTAATTTCTTTTATTTCTAAAAAAAAAAAAAAAAAAAAAAAAAAAAAAAAAAAATTATCCAACAACTGTATTTCCAACAAACAAGATATACATATATCATATCATATGAATAAATAATTGGAAGAAAATCATCGTGGGAAACATTCTTATTGTTCTGATTACAAGTTAGTAAATATGTTGCTAAAATATGAATATGGTTTGAATGTATTAGGTTGTCTTTTATTCTTCTCTATAAGGAGGTATATATAGGAGTTTACATATGAGGGTTTTACAAGGAATTAGATACAGTAAAGAATTAGGAAAGTATCTCCTAATTGTACAATGATTTATCACTTATATAAAAATAGGAAAGTAAATCCCTTAATTAATCAAGGAAGTAAATCTCCTTGATTAATTAGGAGACTCACGTCAACACATGTCAGTACAATCTAAAGGATCACTAAATATTATTCCTCCAAATGCCAAAATGTGACTTCATAGTTAGTAGCATATCCTTTGATACTCAAAAGGCTCAATTAGTCATACTCAACATTAACGCCATTTGACAAACTTGAACAAGCAGGAAAGCAAAATGCTGGTAGAAATTAGGGAAGTGGAAAGTCAGTGAATGAAAATAAATACCATTTGAACTGCAAAGCCGGTGGGCACGTTGCATCTTTGTACTAAAATCCTTTTCAATCTTAATGAAGTTGACATCTATCCACTACTACAAAAAGTGAAAAAGACGACCAGAAAAAGACGACGGTAGAAGAAAAAACCGTCGTTGTATTTAAAATGACGACGGTAACAAAAAACCGTCGTGGATAAGTGACTTAAACAACTAAAAACCGGAGGTACTGTTGAATATTTTTCTATAACGACGCACACAAATAAAAAAGCGTTGTCTTATTAAAAAGGTTTTCTTCAGAGTTAAAATCTGACCAAAAAACAACGACAACAGGTATGACAAGCGTCGTCTTTTAAAAATCAAGTGTCATTTTTTTGGTAAAGACGTGGTTGTTTTGATAAAAACCGTCGTCTATTATATATAAAGATGACGATTTTTATACAAATCGTCTTCTATTATATGTAAAGATGACGCTTTTTATAAAAAACCGTCGTCTATCGTATGTAAAGATGACGCTTTTTATAAAACCGTCGTCTATTGTATGTAAAGATGACTCTTTTTATAAGTCGTCGTCTATTGTATGTAAATATGACACTTTTTATAAAAACCGTCGTCTATTGTATGTAAAGATGACGCTTTTTATAAAACAAGTTGTCTACTATACGTAAATATGACGCTTTTTATATAAAAAAAGGTCGTCTATTGTATGTAAAGATGACGCTTTTTATAAATAAATAAAAGGTCGTCTATTGTATGTAAAGATGACGCTTTTTTATAAAAACCGTCGTCTATTATATGTAAAGATGACGCTTTTTATAAAAACCGTCGTCTATCGTATGTAAAGATGACGCTTTTTATAAAAACCGTCATCTATTTTATGTAAAGATGACTCTTTTTATAAATCGTCATCTATTGTATGTAAATATGACGTTTTTTATAAAAACCGTCGTCTATTGTATGTAAAGATGACGCTTTTTATAAAAAAAGTTGTCTATTATATGTAAAGATGACGCTTTTTACATAAAAAAAAAGGTCGTCTATTGTATGTAAAGATGACGTTTTTTTTATAAAAACCATCGTCTATTTTTGTAAAGATGACGCTTTTTACAAAAACCGTCGTCTATTGTATGTAAAGATGACGCTTTTTATAAAAACCGTCGTCTATTGTATGTAAAGATGACGCTTTTTATAAAAACCGTCGTTTATTGTATGTAAAGATGACGCTTTTTATAAAAACCGTCGTCTATTGTATGTAAAGATGACGTTTTTTATAAATACCGTCGTTTATTGTATGTAAAGATGACGCTTTTTATAAAAACCGTCGTCTATTGTATGTAAAGATGACGCTTTTAAAAAACCGTCGTTTATTGTATGTAAAGATGACGCTTTTTATAAAAACCGTCGTCTATTGTAAGTAAATATGACGCTTTTTCTAAAAAACCGTCGTCTATTGTAAGTAAAGATGTCGCTTTTTATAAAAAAAACCGTCGTCTATTGTACGTAACGATGACGTTTTTTTTTTTAAACCGTCATCTATTGTACGTAAAGATGACGCTTTTTATAAAAAAAACCGTCGTCTATGATATGTAAAGATGACGCTTTTTATAAAAAAACCGTCGTCTAACAATTAAGAGTTTATCTATATTTTCGTTAAATATAATATAAGATTTTGTGGTATCCACTAGTATAAATATTTTAAATTGAAGAAAAAATTTAGTCATTGTATTCATATACGGTCAAGGAGTGTAGCTGTAAAAAATCATCAAAATCGGAGTTAAAATAACCTTTAATTCATGATTTTTCATTTATAACCGTTGAAATTTTTTGTCTCGTTACTTGATCTCTAAATGTTTATTTTTTCTGATTTTTGGCGTATATGATCTCGAAGTATAAACAAACAAGTTTGACGGTTGGATCATTGAAACTAGTTTTTTAGAATGTGTATGCCATTAAAACAATATATTCACTAACAATTAAGAGTTTATTTATACTTTCGTTAAATATAACATAAGATTTTGTGGTATCCACTAGTGTTAATATTTTAAATTGAAGATCAAATTCAGTCATTGTATTCATATAGGGTCAAGGAGTGTAGGGGTAAAAAATCATCAAAATCGGAGTTAAAATAACCGTTAAATCATGATTTTTCATTTATAACCGTCGAATTTTTTTGTCTCGTTACTTGATCTCTGAATGTTTATTTTTTCTGATTTTTGGCGTATATGATCTTGAAGTATAAACAAACAAGTTTGACGGTTGGATCATTGAAACTAGTTTCTTAGAATGCGTATGCCATCAAAACAATATATTCACTAACAATTAAGAGTTTATTTATACTTTCGTTAAATATAACATAAGATTTCGTGGTATCCACTAGTGTAAATATTTTAAATTGAAGATCAAATTCAATCATTGTATTCATATAGGGTCAAGGAGTGTAGCGGTAAAAAATCATCAAAATCGGAGTTAAAATAACCGTTAAATCATGATTTTTCATTTATAACCGTTGAAATTTTTTGTCCCGTTACTTGATCTCTGAATGTTTATTTTTTCCGATTTTTGGCGTATATGATCTCGAAGTATAAACAAACAAGTTTGACGGTTGGATCATTGAAACTAGTTTCTTAGAATGCGTATGCCATCAAAACAATATATTCACTAACAATTAAGAGTTTATTTATACTTTCGTTAAATATAACATAAGATTTTGTGGTATCCACTAGTGTAAATATTTTAAATTGAAGATCAAATTCAATCATTGTATTCATATAGGGTCAAGGAGTGTAGCGGTAAAAAATCATCAAAATCGGAGTTAAAATAACCGTTAAATCATGATTTTTCATTTATAACCGTTGAAATTTTTTGTCCCGTTACTTGATCTCTGAATGTTTATTTTTTCCGATTTTTGGCGTATATGATCTCGAAGTATAAACAAACAAGTTTGACGGTTGGATCGTTGAAACTAGTTTCTTAAAATGCGTATGGCATAAAAAAAAATATTCACTAACAATTAAGAGTTTATTTATACTTTCGTTAAATAGAACATAAGATTTTGTGGTATCCACTAGTGTAAATATTTTAAATTGAAGATCAAATTCAGTCATTGTATTCATATAGGGTCAAGGAGTGTAGCGGTAAAAAATCATCTATTGTATGTAAAGATGACGCTTTTTATAAAACCGTCGTCTATTGTACGTAAAGATGACACTTTTTATAAAAAACCGTCGTCTATTGTATGTAAAGATGACGCTTTTTATAAAAACCGTTGTCTATTATATGTAAAGATGACGTTTTTTTATAAAAAAAACGGTCGTCTATTATATGTAAAGATGACAAATTTTTTTTTAAAAAAGCGTCGTCTTTTAAAACACGCTAAAAAGCGGCCGTTTAAGTGAATTCGCGCTCGACAAATTTTCAAATTTTCACCCGTCTTTGAAAATCTTATCTTTCATTAACAAGCGTCGTCTTTTAAAACACGCTAAAAAAAGTCTATTTAAGTGAATTCGCGCTCGACAAATTTTCAGATTTTCCCCCGTCTCTGAAACCCTTATCTCTCCCTCCTTGAAACCCTCTTGCACTCTCTAAAACACCCTCATGAAACTCTCTACAAAATCATCAAAAAATCGATATCAATGAAGGAGTTGAGAGATTGAGGTCTTAGCAAATCCATAAGATGTAGAGGGATGTTCTGTATTTGAGAATCAAAGCTGGTTGAAAGGTTTGATTTGAAAGTCACCTAATCTCTTAATACCCTTCTATATCTTGCTAGTGAATTCTGGATTAGTCTCTTTGCGTTTTTGGTATGTTCTTTGTCTCCCTAATTTCAGATTTTGTCTCTCTTGATTTGTCTGATTTGTTTACATATTTTTTTATTTATTTCTGGTTTCTTTTTAGATTTTCTGATTTGGTTATCAGGAGATGAGGAGGAAACTTGCAGATTTATAACTTTTTCTTTTGTAGGTTTTCTATGTGAGTCGTATGTTTTTTTGTTGTTGAAAATTTGCAGGTTCTTGATGGTCTTTTTTATGCTCATTTTACAAGTTTTCTATGGAAATATGGACCAATGGTAAAATTTCTCTTCCACCTAATTTTTTATGTTTATAATCTTAGCTTCTTCTTTTTTTCTCTCTTTGTCATTTTGATTTATTTACAGGGATGATGGAGGAGACTTCAGTTGTGCATAATTTGTATGTTTGGATGAGGAATGCTTGGATTAGGAGTACGTAGGTCTTGTTAGGAATTATGTTTGTTGTAGAATAAAGATTGGTTAACTATGTAATAACTATTGAATCTTCAAGTTTTATGAAAGAAACTATTATATATTAATTAATAAAGCATTATGGTTGGTTTTCTAGTTAAAATCATTGTATAGCATCATAGGAAATCAAAAAGCATTATTGTACGTAAAGATGACGTTTTTTTTATAAAAACTGTCGTCTATTGTATGTAAAGATGACGCTTTTTATAAAAACCGTCGTCTATTGTATGTAAAGATGACGCTTTTTATAAAAACCGTCGTCTATTGTATGTAAAGATGACGCTTTTTATAAAAAAACCGTTGTCTATTGTAAGTAAAGATGACGCTTTTTATAAAAAAAACCGTCGTCTATTGTAAGTAAAGATGACGTTTTTTATAAAAAAAACCGTCGTCTATTGTACGTAAAGATGACGCTTTTTATAAAAAACTGTCGTCTATTGTACGTAAAGATGACGCTTTTTATAAAAAAACCGTCGTCTATTGTACGTAAAGATGACGCTTTTTATAAAAAAAGGTCGTTTATTGTATGTAAAGATGACGTCTTTATAAACAATCCACGACGGTTTTCATAAAAAAATCGTCATCTTTACATACAATACACAACGGTTTTATTAAAAACAGTCGTCTTTCCTCCTATAATTAACGATCTTTGCCTCTAAACAACGACGATTTTCTTTAAAAACCGTCGTCTTTATAGATAAACAACGACGGTGAAAAGCCGTCGTAGTTTGACACCCAAATAGATATCGGTCGATTTCACGACGGTTTGAAAACCGAATACACGACGGTGAATTCCCGTCGTCTTTGGCCCCTCAATTAATAATTAAGTGCAAGCACATGAGCCTCCTAAACAGTTCATCTAACTTACTATAAATAACAAGGTTGTTGGAACTGATAAAAAGCACCAAAGCCAGCTTAACCAACTTGGATTTACTACTTCTACACCATTTTAGTGTTGCAGGGTTTTTCAATGCAGACCCGTCTTACTTTCCAAAGGGCCCTTCTGGGTCTCTGGTTGTGCTTGTTTGCTGTAAGCTTCTGCTACAGCAATGCAGAGACTATTCAGGTGAGATATATAATATATATATATGTATTATATATATGTATATATAGGGTTCTTTCAGCAGACGTCCGCACATTATTACCTTGCAGATGCCATTGTAAGCATGGAGGAGAACAAAGAGAAGTAGTAGCAAATACATGGCGTCTGCACAGTATAACGTCCGGAAGTCCGCATAGGAGAAAATCTGTGTGTATATATATATATATATTTTATATGTGTGTGTATGTAATTATATATTAGTGTTAGTACGATCAAATAGTTCTTTTAGGGGACTTGATTACACTACAAATTTTCTTTTAGAAGGAAGCTACTTGACAGCTCTCACAATGTAGCACAGTACAATAACAAAAGTTACAAAACAGACCCCTTCATTGCTCCTCATTATTTTGAATTACTTACTGAAATCTCTAGGTTTTGTTATTTTTTTGGTTAATTGTTTTTCTGATAAGTAACATTCTTCTGCATCTCTTTGTGCACATATCCAAATTGAAGAGCTGCAAACAGAGGCTGCAGAGCTCAATGAAGAAGGGAAGTTTGTCTTTAAGAAACACCCTCTACCTAAGATTCCCATTGTAAAGAAGCCATTTCCACCAAAGCCCTTCTTCAAGAAGCCACTTCCACCACCAGTTCCAATCTTCAAGAAGCCACTCCCTCCACCCTTCAAGAAGCCAATCCCTCCTCCAGTTCCAATCTTCAAGAAGCCACTCCCTCCACCTGTTCCAGTCTTCAAGATTCCACCCTTCAAGAAGCCGGGTCATCCACCGGTACCAGTTGTGGAAGACAAAAATTTTTGTATAGAAGCCATTTTTCATCCCCTTCCAAAATTCAAGAAGCCATCTCTACCTCCTGTTCCAATCTATAAGAAGCCACTTCCCGTATACAAGAAACCATTTCCCCATCCTATTTTCAAGAAGCCACTTCCTCCACCCATTCCAACAACATTTCCTCCACATCCTTTCCTTGGGAAGTCACTCCCTCCTCTGGTTCCCTAAGGCTAGCCTAGTGTTCTTTCACCTAAGCCCATATTGTTAAAGGATGAAAGCATAGAAGTTATGCATTGGTATATAATAAGTTCCTACATGGACAGAGAAAGAGACAGAGAGAGAGAGAGAGAAGAAAGATGACAACGAAAGAAGAGACTGTTCTTTGAAGTTGGAACTTTACTATCAACTTTTGCATTGTAATATTTCTGCTTGTTCTTGCTGTTATATGGCTACTGTGTAATACCAAATTTGCATTTTATCAGTTCAAGGAAATATTTTTCATTAATTCCAAAGAATCAACCTCGAGCCCTCAGCACATTACACTTTTTCTGGATTAATTAGTACTCAAATGGTGAATTGTCAAGCCAACGGATCCATAGCTCAATGGTAAGAGTATTTGTTTGTAGATCAATGACCTCAGGTTCGAACCCTAAACCCAATGACACCTCCCCCTTCTGAAGGTTGACAACAAAAAAATGGTGAATTGTCAAAGGAAAAGAACCTCTAGGAGCTCCTAAATATGAGGAGAGAGAAAGTGTTAAATTTCAGAGAGACGGGTCAGCAGCCCACTATTAGCAACACCGATATTGTCCCCAACTTAACTACCTACAAAGCCTAGTAGGTGTGAAGTTTTATCACAAAAAAGCTCGGTATTATTAGTAGTAGAGCCATTCATTATATTTTGTATTTTATTTAGTCAAGTTTCCAATGTGGGACTTATATTCTTCAACAGAAATGACTCTTAGTGGCTCCTTGTAATTTAATGATGCTTTATTTAATAAGTATTTCAAACCTTAATTAATGCTAACTTTTTTTTATATAATTTTTTAAAAGAGATGGACCAATTAAAAAAGAGTTATAGCATTTATAATTCCCTAAACTAGAGAGCATGATTGGAATTTAAATTTTATAGAGAGCTGCTAAAAACTTTTATATGTTTTTAGCTAAAATTTAACTAAAAAATAGAGAGCATGATTGTGGATGCTTTGACAACCATTTGTATTTACCCTTCATTATGGCAAAATTCTAAGATGCATTTGAGGAATATAATTATCATTGAGATTCCAATTTTGAGTACAGGAATGTGAGCAATTACTCTCTCTACGTAAAGCTTGTATAAATAGGGATAAGCATCAATGGGTACTGAACTTGCATAAGCTTTGTTGTGATAGCGAACCAAACCACCATGCAGACTTGAATTATGGACTTATTAGCACAGCTGTTAACCTGAACTTTTCTTGCCTTATCTCAAGTCCTGCAAGAGCTATCTCTATTAATGCATCTGGAAGGAGTATACTAATGGAAGTAATTGTTTTTGACTGTGTATAGTAATTGTTTTTGTTTATTCATAACTGAGTAAATACACTTTGGGAAAAATTTTGGTGACTCTGAATATTGTTGGGAAGCTTTAGCATCCAACCTCTTTTTCCTCAATTTGTCTCCCAACTTTCTCACGCTAGGATATTATGGGGCCAGTTGGATAGATATTGAAGAAATAATTCGATTTTAAAGTATCACCTGTAAAAGGAAACAAAATAGTCAATGATCTGATTATGATCTAATTGGGAGCAGTTGTAGGATCAAATTGTAATCAGCATAAATAGGTTTTGTTTACCTAGAATAGCTCCTCTGTTTTCCTAGAATAGCTTTCCTTTACTTGTATAAAACACATACTTCTGTATACGGTTGAACTCACTCAATACAAACCATATTCTTCATATATTTTCACATGGTATCAGAGCACCAAGATTGGTGACTTTAAAAACCCACCTACCTTCCGCTACAGACACCCACAAAACTACTAAGCACACCACCATGGGTGAATCACAATGCACAGATTCAACAATCCTCCCAATTCAACAAGCCACAGATTCAACGACCCTCACCAATTCGTCAACCATATCTGATCCTCTCGTTTTGCACCATTCTGACACACCAGGGCTCACCCTTGTCAACGCACCCCTCAAAGGAAATAACTATGGTCAATGGAGTCACTCGATGCATCTCAGTCTCAGTGCCAAGAATAAACTTGGACTAATCGGTAGGTCTATCAAGGCACCATCATCAACTGATGCAAAATTTCCTATGTGGCAGCGTTGCAATGACATGGTATTGTCATGGCTCCTACACTCGATTCATCCCGAGATTGCCAGTAGCGTCCTCTATTTGGACACAGCAGCTGCCGTTTGGAACAATCTCAAAGACAAATTTTCCCAAAGCAACGACTCCAGGATCTACCAAATTCGACAAGAAATTGTCGAATGTCGTCAAGGACAACAATCAGTCTCCATATACTATACCAAACTCAAGGCACTTTGGGATGAATTGTCTACTTATCATGAACCCCTCATTTGTGACTGTGAGGGCCTGAAAAAGCTTGCAGATCATGAGGAAAAGGAGAAGGTCATGCAATTTCTAATGGGATTAAATGATTCTTACTCCACTGTTCGTGGCTCCATTTTGATGATGAATCCTATTCCTGATACACGAAGACTCCATGGGTTAATTCTCCAACACGAGAGACAGATGGAAGTGGCAAGTCACCGAGAAAATCCATCTTATTCTCACGCTATGCAGACTTCGCGTGCTCCGGCGACCACAGGCTCTTTTCGCTCCTACAAACCCTCCAAATGCTCGCACTGTGACCCATTCAGTTGATCATTGCTATTACATCATTGGATTTCCAGTGGGTCACAAATGGCATGGGAAGAATGTGTAACCCAGGAATAAGAAGCCACCTACTCACAATGACAAGAGGGCTGCTGCTCGCAATGTAGAATTAGAAACACCTCCTACCAAGGGTCCACCAGCTTCTGCTACTGGAGGCCCCACCTTCACAACCGAGCAATACAATCAAATCCTTGCTATGCTTCACAATAAGAATGGTAATGCCCAGCCATTTGCAAATGTGACAGGTATATTTTCCCCCACTTGCAATACTGCACATCATAATTCGCATTCTACCTTACATTGGATTGTGGATAGTGGGGCAATAGATCACATATCTCATCTAACACCCATGCATAATACTCATATTGGGACTCAGCATGATTTTGTTGGTTTGCCTAATGGCGAGCACATTGCCATTGAAAGTATAGGATCTGTGCGTCTGACACATGATTTGTCTCTTGATGGAGTTCTGCATGTGCCCAAATTTCGTGTGAACTTATTGTCTGTGAGTAAATTAACTCGAGCATTGAATTGTATGGTGACATTTTATCCGGATTTTTGTGTTGTGCAGGACGTGGAAACGAAGAGGATGATTGGCCTAGGCAAGCATTTTGATGGGCTCTACTACCTTACGCCACAACAAAATCCCCACCTAGCTAATCATATTCACCGTACCTCGGATCTCTGGCACTAACGCCTTGGGCACCCCTCCTCTGCTCCTCTCCATTTTTTATCCAAAGCAATTCACAATATTATGTTTGATTCTATGCATGTTTGTGATGTCTGTCCTCTTGCAAAGCAAACACGCTTGCCTTTTACTCACAGTTCAATAGAATCTACCACACCTTTTGATCTAATACATTGTGATATATGGGGCCCACACAAAATTCCTACACATTCTGGGGCACGATATTTTTTAACTATTGTGGATGATTTTACTTGCTTCACATGGATTCATCTTATGCGTTTTAAGTCTGACACACAATCCTTGTTACAATCATTTTTTTCTTGGGTCAAAACACAATTTAATCATGACATCAAAGTTCTCCGTGCTGATAACGGTGGTGAATTCATCTCCATGCGTTCCTTTTTGGATAGCCATGGTACCATTTTTCACCACACTTGTGCTTACACACCGCAACAAAACGGGGTTGTTGAACGCAAACATTGCCATCTTTTGAATGTTGCTCAAGCCTTACGTTTCCAAACTAATGTTCCTTTAAAATTTTTGGGAGAAAGTCTTCAAACTGCTTCTTATCTCATCAATCGACTCCTTACACCCTTACTTGCCCATAAATCCCCTTATGAACTGTTGCACGGGGTTCAACCTACCTATTCTCACCTCCGGGTTTTTGGGTGTTTATGCTATGCTACGAATCTCACTCCTACTCACAAATTTGATACTCGTGCGCATCGTTGTTTATTTTTAGGATATCCCCTTGGGCAGAAGGGTTACCTCGTCTATGATCTTGATAACCACAAAATTGTTACTTCACGTGATGTTCTATTTCATGAACACATGTTTCCTTTTGCCCACTTACCCTGTGAAGACCAACAAGACCTCCCCGTTTTACCTATCCCACTTATTGACTCACACATATCTGGGACCCAGTTTTTTGAACCAGCCTAAACTCATTCCAGCCCACACACCGACCACCCTTTAGCTGTTACGCCTCCAGACCTACTCTCCTCACCGTCCAGATCTTCCATCACCACTCCAGACCTTCCTCTCGATCTCCCTGTGTCGTCTTCCACCACGCCACCAGAACCAACCGATCCACCACATGTACCAGCTTTCCCCGTCATCCCTTCACCCGATCCGGACACCATTGCAACCGGCACTCATCTTTCCTTTCGTCGTTCCAGCAGACCCTCTTATCCACCGGCTCATTTTAAACACTACCAGGCCCATTATGCTGCTCTGCTCTCGCCCGGTCTTCCTTCTCCTTCCACATCCGGTACCCGATATGCCCTCCATCGGTATGTCTCTTACACTCAGTTATCTCATGCACACCGTACTTTTGTTTCCAACATTTCTCACTTGGTTGAACCAGCAAATTATGCACAGGCAAGTCAGGATCCCAAATGGCTTGCCGCCATGAGTTCTGAGATCAAGGCCCTTGAGGACAACCGTACTGGGTCCCTTGTTCCTCTGCGCTTCGGTCATCGCCCCATTGGGTGCAAGTGGGTCTGCAAGGTCAAGTATCACTCGGATGGCACCATCGAGCGTTACAAAGCTCGTCTCATTGCCAACGGGTTTACACAACGCGAGGGCATCGATTACAAGGAGACTTTTGCTCCCGCGGCCAAATTGATCACCGTACGTTGCTTGTTATCCA